CTTTTAGGGTGAGATGAGATCTCGCTGGATCTGGCGCGGGGGAGAGTTGACCCTCGATCCCAGCAGATTCGTCGCGTTTTTTTTCTTTTCTTGCTTGGTCTGGATCGCGTCCGCGGGGGGAATGCCACCTAGGAGAGTTTGTTTAAATTATTAGGTGAAATTTGAAGCGTAATCGTTTGCTCTATGGACCTATCTCGCTGGATGCCGCGGGGTAGATGCGCTTCATTTTGATTAGTGTTTCGAGGGGCTGTTTATTGTGGATTTCAGGTTTCTACTACGGAGTACTATCTAATGGCAGTAAAAGAACAGGCAATTTTGTCTGCACAAGGAGGATAGGTCTATTTTGGTGAATTATGCATGCTAATATCACTTGCACCATCTCTAGTTTCGCAATCACTTTGTTGAGTCTCATGTTTTTACTCCCAAAAAGGAATGAAAGAAAAAAACATTCATATCCTACTTGTTGATACTGTTTGGCTAAATTATGGGTCAGTTGATCGGATTTGCATATTTCTAGAATGCACCAGTCTGCTCAACATCCTTTACATGCACGACCCAATGCTTGTTTGTTCGTGTGCTGATATAACTGTTTGTTCGGTTACTGCTCTAACTGTGGTTGCACTTCACTCATTCAATGTTACAATATCATTGTATCTGAATGCTGCAAGGGGAACTATTTTACATTCTTTCACACGCTAGTCCATAGGGATCAAAGGGATCTATTAGCCTAGCAAAACTGACATTTTGGCTGAGTATTAAACACTAAAATATCTCTTCATCTGTCTCTGCCTAGGTGTCTAAGCCTGACAATATTATTCCATCTAATTGTTGTGTGTTATTATCTTGAGAATACATTGCTCTTTGAATTTATTTTCAATCTTCCAAGCCTGGAGATAGTTATTGTATCTTTTATCATCTTTGAAAGTGGTCGGACCCTTCCCCGGACCCTGCGTAAGTGGGAGCTATGTTCACCGGGCTGCCCTTTTTTATCATCTCGAAAATGCCATCACTGCTTGTTTTCTTCTCTGGGCACTGTGTTTGATGGAGACTAACATTCTAATATTTGGCCATGCAGTGATTACCTCTTCAAGCTTTTGCTTATTGGAGACTCGGGTGTTGGCAAGTCATGTCTGCTGTTAAGATTTGCTGTAAGAATCTCTATAGCAAGTATGATCCATTTTGCTATCTTTTTCCCATCTATATATTATAGATTTTCCATGTTAAAATTAGGTAGTTCATGGAATTAACCATTTTGTTTATAGGATGTGTAAGCTGAATCATCACTCACAAATGTTCTAATTTAAATTGCTCAACCTGAATAGTTCATTATTGGTAGCTACATTTTTCCAAAAGATGATGGGCATCCCTAGGTACATTCATTTCAGCGACAAGTAATTCGGTCTCAAATGGATGTATTTAGCTAGATACATCTATTTGAGCGACAAGTAATTCCGGACGGAGGGACTAGTATATTGTAGTATGCCCTTGAGGACAACTAATTATACTTACTATTAAATTTACCTGTGCTGCTTTGTTTGTTTGCCTCTTTAATATTTTGACTCTTGGCAGGACGACTCATACCTGGATAGTTACATCAGTACTATTGGAGTTGATCTTGTAAGCACATTTACTTTCTGCATAGTGTTTTTTGGCTGCTACAGATCCTTCTATCGAGCATAACTTATTTGAAAAATGTTGACAGAAAATAAGGACCGTGGAGCAGGATGGAAAGACTATCAAGCTGCAAATCGTGAGTCTAGCTTATCTCGTGATTTACGTGATATGCATCTGTTGCTAGTAACCAAGCATGCCTGTGCAAGTACCATTTAGTTGTGATTTTGTTGATGATCTGTAAAACTTCATTGATACATAATTCTCCCAGTAACCACTATTATTTTGTGGGATGCAAGTCATGATTGCTAGTTGAAGTCGATTGATATGGAACAGACACACTCAACCGCTTCTCCTGAATATATATGAACTCTGTTGTCACTTTGTGGTTCTCTTTAGTCTGTCCAGTTAATATAATTGGACCATTAAAAGTTTTCATTATTTGTCTTTCCTATGAAGATTCATTCTTTCTGGATATTTAGAAATGAAAAATAGATGTAGCTCAGTTTGAACATGAGGGATGGCAGTCTTGCAGCTTATGTGTACGTGCTCTTTAGATTTGGCAATTCCTCTGTTTTTCATCTCCCACTTCAGTTGCAGTGATACAGGCTAGTATTATCCTTTTCAAAGTTATTAAACCCCTTCATTCTACAAAACTTCTTTTTCAGTGGGACACTGCTAGGCAAGAACGTTTTAGAACTATTACCAGCAGCTACTACCGAGGGGCCCATGGGATTATTGTAAGTCCGCTTATACAAACTTCATTTAGTCAGATAACAAATTTACATTTATGATGGCTTGACCGGAATATTCAAATGGTCTTGCAGATCGTCTATGATGTGACAGACCAAGATAGCTTCAACAATGTGAAGCAGTGGTTGAACGAGATTGACCGCTATGCCAGTGAGAATGTGAACAAGCTTCTGGTGGGGAACAAATGTGATCTGGCTGACAAAAGAGCTGTGTCATATGAAACAGCAAAGGTATCCTTGAGTCTCGTGCAAACATATTTTTTTTGTTGTTCACTTCACAATCTGCAGATTCCAACCTTCCATTCCTTGAAGGCATTCTCACTGCTATTTGTCTTTATTTTTATGTACATATATAGGCATTCGCTGATGAGATTGGCATTCCATTCATGGAGACCAGTGCAAAGAACGCCCTGAATGTTGAACAGGCTTTCATGGCCATGGCTGCTTCGATCAAGGATAGGTTTGGACCCACACTGAAACTAGCATTCATGATGGTTTATATTAACATGCTAGTCTATGAACTTTAGATGAAGAACTTACTGAAAACAATGGCCTATGTTTCCAGGATGGCGAGCCAGCCAGCGGCAAACAACGCTCGCCCGGCTACTGTACAGATCCGCGGGCAACCTGTCGAGCAGAAGACCAGCTGTTGCTCATCTTAGAAAACCATGCAAACTTGTTGATGCTCCATCACCTTTATACATGTTTTCTTATTTTTTTTTACTTGTTATCTTTATTCTTTTCTTTCTAGTGTACCTGCCTTCTGAAATTGTGTAAGTTGGATGAATATATCTTCTTACATTCGCAGTTGTTTTTATGGTTAACTTGGAGTGACACTGCTGGTCATAGTACTCGATCTGTATCTATACGGTTCTATTACTAATGATATTATACGATAGCCAGTTTCTTTTTTCTTCTCTCATCGAGATACAAACAAAGAAAGGGAGTATGATGATATTTTTTTTTGGGTAATTGGAGTATGATTATCTGATCCTGTAATATGGTGACTCCTGAATTATCATTTTGTCAAAAAGTTCACTATGATTATGCTTTCAGGCTGTCGCACATTTCAATGAAGTGAGCACCCTGAATTTGTAAAATTGATCAATTAAAATTTGTAACATTGAGGAGGAGGTCGTCAGCATGAAGTCGTGGGTCTTCACTTTTTCCTTCTTGAGGGATACATTTTCATGACAACTTTATATTAATATGGCAGTTTTTATTACTTGGCAAATATGGATACATCATTTTTAGATTATACTCTCTCTCTGTCTTTATATAAGGCATATTTGTTTTTTTGATAAAATTGCACAATGTAAGGTGACCGGCGGGGCCCTCGAAAAGAGTTATCTTTTCTGCTTAACGGTCTACCAACCCTGGAAACGGTTCAGCCGGAGGTAGGGTCCAGTGGCCGGAAGACTAGTCACAATGGGAAGTAACTTAGACTAGTAACATCACATTTTACTAGGCTATGTTACTACCTCCACGGTGGGTAGTAACATATGTGTATTGTCATGTTATGGTTCATTTATTAGTCTATAGACTCATATTGTCTTGGCACGTGTGATGTTACAGTAACTAGTTAAGTTACCATCATCACCTCTCTCATCATTAAATATGTGCCACATAAGCAAAGTTATCTTAAAAAAGTGATGTTACTCCCACTGTGGCCAGTCGAAGAGCACTGCACGTCGCGCGGTGTCCGGTGCGCCCCCGGCGGCCCATGAAAATTCGGAGGACCGAGTACCGTTCATGATTTATTATCCTACGAAATAGACAAGTTAGACAAGGGGAATTTGTCTTAAATAGTCTATAATTATGTGCCTTGAAAATAGTACACCTTAGATAAAAGAATGGAGGGAGTATCGTACTGGAGCCTTCTGCTTCACTTCCTCCGTTCCCTAATATAAGGTTTATTTCTTTTTTCAAATAATCAAGTGAGTGCATGTTTGACTGAGTTTTAAAAAAATATCAATATCCACAATACGAAATTTATATTATTTGTTTCATCATGAAAAGTAGACTCATATTTTATCTATTAGGTATTGCACATGTTATTATTTTATTCTATAATCTTGGTCAAACATTTAAATGATTGACTTACACGGAAACCAATACATCTTATATTCTTGTATGGAGGGTACTAGCTAATCGGGACAGTGGTCAAACAAAATATAAGGAGAATTGTGGAATAAAACGTGCATTCTCATAGACCGCTGTCACGGGTTGGATAGAATTGTCACCATTCAGCATACAATTTGCCTCCACATTTATTTTTGCGGATGCCTCCACATTAACTTGCTACATGCACATGAGCCCATCTTTGAGATCCCGGACTTCCGAAGTACCAACATCTTAAATGAAGGGAATCCCACTGCCAGGAAATAACCCTTGTCGTCTCAAATGATAGCACCAGTTCCTCCTGACTCCCGAGCCACTGTCACTAACAAATGTAGTGTCAACATTTAGTTTAAAGAGGCCTTCTTTTGGCTTCCGCTAGCCATGTCTTGGATTTGCACCTTGGTTCCCTCGGCTAATCCTCCTTCCGAGCCATTAGATTCATATTAATGATAGTTTATCATGCTAAGAAGGAAATAATAATAGAACCGAGCCCCCGTGTCGCTCCCATGTGATCGGCTCGGGCGGACGAGAAAGACCTAACAAAGCCTCCACCACGGATCCTTCTAGTGATGCAGATCTTGCCCGAGTTGTAGAAGATTTGTGTGGTGCACGCTTCGCCTCTGTCGATGGTACATCTGGATTCATTTATGACCCCTGAGTATGGTTATGTCTCCACCCACACTACCACCGCTAGAGACCAACCAATCGCTCGTCTTTGTGGAGCATGAATGGTTGGGCACCTGCTGTCTTCCACTCGCCTAAGCCCATCAGGCAGGTGGTTCCTGCTAGTGACGAGGTTGTGGCATCTAATACATTGACGTCTGTTTTTTAGGCTCTCTTCGCTAAACAATTTCAACTAATAACCGAAATGGATGGACCTGACAATGACGGGTTGTTGCCTCATGAAGGGGAAGGCAACCAGGGGCAAGAGCAAGAGGGTTCCCTCTAGCCATCGTGCGTTCATCTTGATGAAGAAGCCTTTTGGGAGCAAAAGTAAGAACAGTGAAACCATAGATAAGGCATCAACAACTGCTTGATGGACGATGTTCGATGTCTTTTTGGTAGGGGTTTCTTTGTGATGTTGCGATTCATTGGTTGATTTGTGGTTATAATGGGTTGGGAGCACATATTTGTCCTTTTGAATGGTCACGGAGATTCATGCTTTGAAAGTAGACAACACATGGTCATACTGTAACGGTTTTCGCCTGATTTTTGTTAATTAATTAGACAATTCTATTCGAGTGCAGTGTTTTGGTGGCTAGTCTCATCTACACCCATGTAAAACAAGAATCACAACAAATTCAAAAAAAAATCTATTTTTTTGCACGGTAGAAAAATTATTGCGTGAGGTCCCCTCCAATTTTCATATCATTTAGACATTTGAGTAACTCTCAGCAAAAAAGGCAAGGACAGCGCATGAACAATTAAGTTTTTTACAGACCTCGAATTTGTCTTTTTTGCCTAGAGCCGCTCAGATGTCCAAATGATTCAAAAATTAGAGCGGACATCACGCATCAAATTATCTATCGCAAAAAATTAGAATTTTTTGAATTTTTCTAGTATTTGTGTCGACCTTTTCTTCAGCGTGGGTGCAAATGAGCCTAGGCTCAGAAGTGGATTATCGATTCTACTCTACTTAATTAATTGATGAGACAATTCTTATACTTTCTTTGTGGGAAAAACTTTCGATTTATTCATCTTCAACCATGGTAGTGCAACAAACATTAGAATAATAAAAAATACATCAAGATTCATAGACGACCTAGTGACGACTACGAGCACTGAAATGAGTCGAAGGCGCGCCGCTGTCATCGCCCCTCCCCCACCGGAGCGGGCAAACCTTGTTGTAGTAGACAGTCGGAAAGTCGTTGTGCTAAGACTCCATATAGAACCAATGCACCAGAACAGCAACCGCCGTCGATGAAGAGTGTATATCTGAAGGATCCAATCTGAAGACACACGAAAACAGATGAATGAAGAAAAGATTCGAGAAAATCCACCAAAAATAGATTTGTCGGAGACACACTTCCACACGCGCACCGGCGGATGCTAGACGCATCACCGAAAATGGGGGGCTAGGCCGAGAGACCAACAACCCCTCTCGAAGGAGCCGTGCCGTCTCGCTTTTCTAAGCAGGACACAAACACTAACGAGACTCGAAAAAAAATAATCTAAAAACGGAGCCCTCCCACAGGGCGCTGGGATCCACTCCACCTCCACGACCCTAAGGCCACCGGAGAAGGAGACAGGGCGGGCTGGCGGGAGGCAGACTTGAACAATATTTGGAAGTTTAGATCAGGGATATACTCTCTCCGTCTCAAAATAAATGACTCAACTTTGTAGTTTTATACAAAGTTAGTCACTTATTTTGAGAGACGTACTAGCATTTTCGCTAAAAACGTGAGAGCAGTTACAGTCTAGTACGTATGGATTTTGTAAATATTTGCGAAAGAAAGGGTGCGGCGGTGTGCGAGAGCGAGAGGGCAGCGAACACACAACCGACTAGCGGGGCCCACCTGGCGGCCCGTAGATGGCCTGAGAATTCCCCACCTTTGAGATCGGCTTCTTAGAAAACAACCGTGAGATCGGGTTCGGGCAGGCCGCCGAGTCGTCGTCGTCGTCGTCGTGCCCGATCCCCACCCCACCACCCGTCCCGCGCCGGCGGCCCGCCCCCCGGAGATCGGAGCGCCCCACGGGATCCCGACCTCGCCATGAATCCGGAGTAGTAAGTCGCTTGCTCTCGCCTCTCCTCTCCCTCTGGTTGAATCAATTGGGGGGCCGGGGATCTCGCCGGATCTGGCGCCTGATGCCGTCGATTCGCGGGATTCAGTTTGGACGCGACTCCTAGTCCCCTCCTACATTCGGCGGATTTCGACCGTGGCCATGCATGATCTTTGTCATGCTAGGGAAAAGCGTAGGAATAGTACTGTTCGTGTAGGAAGATCTTCCTTGGGTGCGAAGCGATCGCGTGACCGACGCGCCGCCGGGCTCGCCCTCCTCCGGCTCAAACCGCCGGCCGGCGAGAGGTCATTAGGGTAGCGAGAGGACGCAACAGATGGCCTCTGTGCAGGGCAAGAAGATGGAGTTGGGATGAGGATGGTTGTGTGGTGGAGTGAATGTTGCCTGCTAGATGCACACACACACACACACACACACACACACACACACACACGGTTGTTTGTACCAGATGATTTTTCCCACATAATCAGAGATGGCTTCGGTGACGATGACAAGCAGGAAGGACCCAGCTGTGATGAACCTTTATTCGTCAGTGGTTTAGCCATGTTATTAGTTTTCCTGTCACTGCCCAATTCGTGTGTTTCTTCATTCCTCTGTTTTGCACAAGAGTTTCTTCTCCATTCCTGTGATTTTCGTTTTTACTGTGGATTGCTGTTATGGAATGTCAATGAAATAATTGGTATCTAGTAAGAACTTGCATTTCTTTTTCCTTTTTTTTTGCATGAAAAGGGAAATAAGGACTATGGGGTTGGAGTAGAGTTGATGTTTTGTTAGAAGGATGCCTTTTGCTCTTAAAGGGTGA